GATATGCACGATATGGTAATTTAAAGTAATTTAATTATGTGAATTCCAGATTTTTTAAAGAATTATGTTTTATTTATAACAATCTGCGTTTTAATATAGATATATCAGTTTGGTCTGCAACTATCGCTTCACCCACTGAGGTTTAGCGGAATGGGTTTATTTTATTTTGGCTACAAGTTTATCCGTTCGGTTAGTGTTCAATACCGTTCACTACAAATATATCGAGAAACATTAGGTTTCTAAGTTCAAGAATTCTAAACAAAAGTATTTATAATAACATTTTCTTTTAAACTAGAAGTATATAAACGGTAATAAGAGCTGTTGTGCGAAAAATGTGTATTTATATATATACATATATACGTGTTCATGTATGAATCTTACACGTGAGTTTTTAAGTGAGATGTACTTATTAAAGTCTTATTATCGTTTATATATTTTTAGTTTTTAACTTTAGAGCCTAAGATTTTTTATTCATTTTCTTTCAGTTTATCGTCTGGATTTTTACTGTTTTTCTTTTACTAATGCAAGAGAACACATATTCTATACCACGTATATCATCTGGAACAAATGTGTCATCGTGTTTTTTTTAGAAATTAACCGTATTTGTAGGATTTATATTTATATATATTATGTATTTAGCTTCTTATATGTAAGTAGGTTTTATTGCTTTTGTAACAATTAAGACATGTAAAATAAATATACAGCAAAACTTTTTTGTTGTCTCAACTGTAAAAACGAATTTTTTCAGAAATATTTCTTAATGTTGTTATTTTTTTTTATTCTTATTCTTTGATAATGAATCAATAAGCAAATTTGTCATTTTGTACGATCAAAAAGTGAATGGAATAACAAAAAAAGAGTGACAACGCAGGAAAAGAAAGTTCACAAATTGTAATTTACCGATAACGATAATAAAAAGTTTGTGACAAAAATGTGTTTACAATAGAGATATTCTACTGTATGTACGTGTATGTACGTGTATACAATACCAAATAATTGTATAAGTAATAGTGTATGATATTTTAATCACAGGACGTATCACACAATTATTTTATATTCTTACAAAATTATTTGTTCTACTATTTTGTTGTATTTACTACATTGTATGCATATATTTATCTTAAAGAAAAAAACTCACTTTTTTATATTTATACATTATATTCTGATTAACTTTTCAAATTCAGACGTGGGTTTGGATGAATGAGTTTGGATCCCAGACCCATTCAAAAGTTTTAATCTGGTTTCTCTCTTAGGTACTACTTTAGTGCAACATTTGAAGGTCATGAGAAATAACTTTAGAGTTATAAGGGGATCCTAAAACTGTTTTACTTTACTGAATTTGCGACTTTTTTTTAGTTTGAGCACTTTTAATATAGTAAATAGATAATGTCATTTTCATAATTTTATCGAAATGTATGTACATTTATAGCAATTTATTAGATTATGAGCAGAAACGTTTCAAACATTTCTTTGAAACTACTAAAGATTTTTTAAATCTATTTTTGTATCGACACGGAATTGTTCAAACTTTTGACTACAACAATAAAAATGTAAAAATTATTGATTTTTCGCGGAAATATTCGATCTTTAAGAAAACGTAGGTTTCACAGACCTAGTCTCTCTGAACAACTTACCATTTTTTACTTTTAGCCTTGTAGAGTTAATATATGTATCTTTTTTTCTTTCTCTCCTATAATTTATACAATCGATTTGTTTCAAAAAAGCTCATAGTAATACTGATTCAATACTGTTAATGTGAAAATCTACTTAAGTGCCATCACCGTGATGAAATATACAACAATATTTATCGACCGGGTTAAAACCTAGTAGTTATCATAGCGAAGTGCAAGTGCTGCGAACATGTATGACACTATGGAAAGAGTCATGCATCCTTACTTCGTAGTCGTTTTCTTCACGGGTAGCGGGATTTACATACGACCAAAAAGTTGTTCAAGACTTTGTTTTAGTGTTATTTATATAGTAACTGTGTGGACTGTTAATATTTGGGGATTCTGTACTATACTGGTAACGTTCACATCGCCAGGAGGACTTTTTAAAGCTTTAAATTATTTGACAATAGGAATAAATTTGTTCGTATCAATATTATCGATATTTATCACATTTTTCGAACACGAGGTATTTATAAGTGCTGGTGTAAATTTGGCGTTTTTATTTTGACATATCTATGATTTTAATTTTTTTATATGTAATATAAAAGTATCATTTTCCAATTTTCTTGTGCAAAGAATATTTAAGCAAAATTGAGCTACCTTAAGTGTGTGTGTGTATGTGTGTGTATCTGCGTTAATATGTTCACACTATAATATTGTTCAAATACTATTTTTTCAATATTTTTTGTAATTGGTTTTTTTTATAATACTAATATTACGTCAAAGTTACAAATTTTCAATATAGCTTAATTCTAGTTATCTTAAAAATAAAAACAATTGCTGATAATGTAGTAAAAACATATTACTGTATATAGTATCAAACGCACACAAGATTTATGTTTTTTATTTTAAAAATGATACAACTCGCTTTTATACTTACTTTTTACTTTTTTATTCATAGAAATTTCGAGAGTGCATAAGAAAACTTGATCTCGTAAATGACACATTAGTAGAGCTCGGAATATCTAAAGAGTACGATAAAGAACGAACAATTATAAAATGGTCATTGGTTGCGTGGTTTATGATAGTATGTGTGACAAATATTCTTGATACTATAATGTGCTTAACGCAGTACAATATGAAAGTTATTGCGAGTATTATACCTTGGATTGAAAATTATTCTTTTCATATCAATACTTTACACGACTTGACAATTATGTATATGTTAAGGTAATGTATTATTGGTATTATAAAAAAATTGCAGAAGTCTAAAACACATTAAGTTGTTAGTTTTCTGTTATAAAAAAAAGTATATAAAATAAACTGGGTTTTCTTTTTACTATCACAGATATATCGGCAACAGATTCGATAAAATTAACGACCGTATTGTGCAACTTTCACAGAATGAGGACTGTAGATTAAGATGCATGTGGAAAAAGTCTCTTAGTGTCACTCGTCGCTATGTTCGAAACACAGAGTATCGCAAGCATGA